ACTCGAGTTGCAACCAGAGTCATGGAACGGATTAAGTTCGTATCCCGAGGTACCACTGTATATGATTTTTGTGCTGCCTGGGAGACATATTTACCGCAGTTCTTCACTGGTCTGAGATACCTCCTTCAAATAAGAACAGGGAACAAAGCCTTCGTTTCTACAAAGAAAAAGTATAAAATAATGTTCATAAAATTAAAAGCAAAATATAAAAACTCTATAAAAAGCAAAAGGATGTTATATGTACTGTAAGTACAAAAAGTATTATGTAGCGACTCCATCATTTCCTTTTTAACTATTTTTAGCCAAGATTAGTTCTATCATCTACTAAAACTTTCCTGCCCTGATCCCCTCTAGATGTTTTGGAACTTCCCAGAATTTCTAACTATCATTGAGTTATGGGCCCCACCAGATGTGAAGAATGCCAAGATTAGGGGAGGCTAAAATAAATATAAATTCTGACACAATAGCAGCCAGTTTAGCTGGATGATAAACTTGCTTGGTTCCAATGATACTAAGTCAGCTAAACTCTCAGAAATAAATATTCTCATAATTGGTTGGTACAATATAAAAATATCACACTGCCACGAGGATATGGGACAGGTTATAGAACAGAGATTGCTTTGATCACTTTGATGGATAATCTATGCTGAGAATAATTGTGTTCCTGTTGGTTCTGTTGGAGACTTTCATATTCTTTCCCAACAGTAGTAAAAAAAAACCCTTACCCTTCAGAATCTCTCACTTGCCACCAGTCAAGATTCTCATCACTCAAGACATAATATTTGTTGTCTTTGATGAGGTGAATATCAGAGTTTCCTTCTGGTTCATAATCATAAACAGCCAGAACTTCTTTCAGAAATGGCTTGTGAGATGTCAAATTTGGAGATTTGTGAAAATACTTCATCTTCTGAAATCAAAGCCAGCAGGGCAGAGGGGAAATACATCAATCCAGAGAATATGGAGGAACAAAACAAAGCCACATTTATAATCATCATTATTCACAAATCGTTACTGCACACTTCAAATGGTCAGAATTCTTGGTTATAATATTCTCTTTTCCTGAAACTCTTGTCTTTTTAATTTTCTCTTTCTGATACCCTCTTCCTCAGCTAGGAAGGAATCATTCTAGAAAGGATCAGTCACTTTTGCTATAAATCTAAAATGTATTTAATTATTTATTTATTTAATCACATTTATATGGCCACCCAACTCACAAGAAGGGACTCTGGGAGGCGTACAACAAATTAATTGCAAGCAATGAGATTTCAACATTCAGGTGCAGGTTTCATGTAATCCAAGGGCTACAAATTGTCCATTCCTGCTTTATGGAACTGTTGACAGATAAGCTTGCTTCTTCCTAGAATCTGCACAATTCTAAAATGCAACATTATTTATTGATTTATTTCTATTTTATCTTGTAGTCTCACTAAGAAATGGTTTTCAGGAAGCGTGATCTATGCTATCCAACTGAAATGCAATTAATATGCCTCAGTATAAGAATGGGTGCATTTAGGTATATTTGCAGACATTCAAAGACAAGACTTGGGCTAGACTGGCGACAATCAGGTAAACCTAGAAAGAAAACAAGTGTCCTGGATTTGAAAGAGGCTATAAGAAATACAGAAACTTATGCAAGGTAGCTCCATATATTGGTAAATAGGAGAGATGAAACAAGTTTTATATTTATATATGTCATACATATATTGTGTTAAAAAGACAATTTATCTAAATATCATACATGGAAAACTATTAGCAATAGGTATTACAGAAACAGAACTTAACTGTGAAGCACAAAAGGGTTTTAAAAAAAAGAAAAAGTCATTCCCTGATGTCTTTCAGGAGGATGTATGGGACTAAATGTTTGTGACCCCAAGGACAGAGATAAAAATTCCATGCTTCACTTCCTTTGCTGAGCCAGATATACAAAAAATGGTATAACTTGGGTGTATCTTAAGAGTTAAGCTAAGATCCTTGTCACTGCAAAGAGAAGATATACCTTCTGCTTGACACAGAGTGTATTGCATATTTATATAGAAATGAACTTCACTCCCAGAGAAAAGAAACCTGTGTCTGTTTATGTGTGATAAAATTGTTGTCCTTTCCACTTCCATTAACATATCTGTCCTATCCTAAATTAATTTCTTCCAGGTTCTCACTTACCAGTTGTCTTGGGATAGGCGGGAGTGGCTTCATTGCACTGCTTACATTGTGTAGGCTGGAATCTATATTAAGAATTTTAAAAATAGATGAAAGAACATGTTTTGGCAGCACTGATGGATGAAACAGCACATTTTTCATCTTCAGGCAGCTTTCATAATTAAAAATACTAACCTACTTATGATTAAATTCAGACTGTATTTTTTATTTCTTTTCCTGTCTCAGGAATTTGCATAATGAAATCACCTCTATTTTTTTAAAATAAAAAGCAATTGATGTTTGAAACCCTTCATGAACCGAAAGCACTTTGAGAGATGAGATAATTATAAGTGAAAAATAAAATTGTAGCTATCTCAGTGCTTCACATTTTAAGAAGTTCTATTTTCATTACATACATTCACATATATCTGGATGTTCACTTCCGATAACTGAATATTAACACTGCGTTCAGAAAAGGCACCTCTGCTCTTTTAATTGGCATTCCAGTTCAGTTAGGGTTAGAGTCCAACTTCCTTAAATTCCATAGTTTAATTTAATTTGAGAATTATATTTTTAATGACTTTTTATAGTTAGTGGTAACTTTGCTATGAAATCCAGTTTGGTGTAGTGGTTAAGGCATCAGGCTAGAAAGTGGGAGACCGTGGGTTCTAGTCCCACCTTAGGCACAAAGCCAGATGGGTGATTTTGGGCTGGCCATGCTCTTTCAACCCTAGGAAGCAGGCAATGGCAAACTACTACCAAAACACTTTGCCAAGAAAACTTGTCCAGGTAGTCACCAGGAGTCAAAAACTGACTCAAAGGCACAGAAAACAAAACAAAACAAAACTTTGCTGTATGGTTTGATGTAGATTGCTTCCTAACAACATGTTTAGGACAACTATATTGGATTTTGGATAAATTTAGGATTAGGGTTCAGCTTTCTTGTGATCTATGACTAAATGTAATATGGGGATAGAATTTTGGATGACATTTTGTATTTAGATGTTAGTCCCAATTAATATATTGAATTTTTAGGGTATGCGGTAGTCTTAAATATACATTTTAGTGAAGAATGCTGGTAAAATATGTTTATTGACCTTTTCATGAACTTAAGGTTAGGCTTCCTTCATGTCTATGGTAAAACTTAGCTTTAGCTTGAGAATCAAATTCTATAGCATTTGGTAATGTTTTGTTCAATAATACTATTATCATAGTGAAGCTTATTACAGTACTGCTTCCTTGAGAACAGCGGTTAAGTTTAATATTTAAATTTTGAGGTTTTTTGTGAGTTCTTAAGGTTAGTAGTCATCTTAGACTGATATTTTATAGTAATTACGTCCTATATAAAACCTTAGTTCCATAAGTTTATGAGTGAAGTTAGGGTTAGAATGAAGCTTCATTCAGGTCTATGGTTAAAATGGCTGTAGGTATTAGATTTTACCTTCAGTTGATATTCCTTACTGGACTAATGTTTAGAATATAAAATTTCAAAGGGTTAGGGTTAGAGCAAGTTTAGGATTGGGCTTTGAAATCTATAGCTAAATTTGGCCAGAAAAGTATATTTTTGAGAGCTTTCATGTTTGTGGTAGTCTTGGATTCACATTTTGTTGTATATTTCTTATTTTAGAGTAAATATTTCTATTGACATTTTGGTGTAGTTAGGGTTAGGGTTGGCTTCCTTGAACTCTTTAGTTAAAGAGTGTGAGCGCTAGCTTTCCATTGAGAGGTTAGGCTTAGTGGAGGTCTTAGGTTCATCTTAGGGTTGGAACTGCTGACTCTGATTGATGGTTCAGCATACAAAATTTCAGTTTCTCTTAGGTGAAGTTAGGGTTAGATTTCCTTGAGATCTGTGGTAAAACTGAGAGTAAGGGTTAGTTTTCCAGGGAGATTTGATATTCAGTGGTTCTATCAGGTGCAGGTTACAGTTGGTATTCCTTGTTGAGTTACTGCTCAGAGTAATACATTGTAATTTTCCTTAGGATTAAATTAGCATTAGGTTTGGGTTTACTTGAATTCTAAGACTCTATTTGATCTGAAAAATACATTTTTGTGAGTGTTTATATTCAGTGGTAAGGTTAGTTAGATTCATATATCATCAAGGCTTTTTACTATCGTTGTGTTTTGCATCTGAAGATTGTGAATTCTTTTAATCAGCATCTATAGTTTTCCAAGGGCAGCTAAACAGCTGCTTTTAGCCTAGAACTCAACCAGAAGTGGCCTGCCTCATTGTTTACCCCTAACATCTGGTATTCTCAGTTAAAATGACAATTAAGGGTGGTTCAGTCTGTTCATGCAACATGTAAGAATCAGCATCTATAGTTTTCCAAGGGCAGCTAAACAGCTGCTTTTAGCCTAGAACTCAACCAGAAGTGGCCTGCCTCATTGTTTACCCCTAACATCTGGTATTCTCAGTTATAGTCCTCTTTATGTTCTTTCAAAGGTCATTT